GCCGGGCTGGGGTGGGCCCGTGCCCGCCGCTCGGGCTGTGCCTCCTGCGGAGCGAGGGAGGGGGGGGTGTGCGCCAGAGGTGCGTGCTCTGGGCGTTTGGAGGACGTGAGAAAGTTGGATCCTGTATTATGCAACTTTTTTTTAATACGCAGAGGTACTGCGCGCTGCGCCGCAGTATGTCGGCGTCAGGAAGCCCGTGGTTAGTTGCTCTTCAGTCTCATCAGCCTAAGTGTGTGTGTCTCGTGACTCCTTAAGGTTTGCTTATTTTTTTCCTAATGATATTTCTGTTTTTCTTTCTCAGGTTTCAATCCAGTTAGAAGAACATATGTCTGGCAAACAGTAAGTGCGGTACGCTGCTGTGCGAAAGCACGCGTAGTGGTAGTTTGGCAACGCTGTGAACGGGAAAATCAGTCCTTTCTCTCACTGAATTTCTCTAACCGTTTCTTTTCTGTCTGCCTAAACTCATCCTACTAACGTAGGGGATCAGTGCTCTTCTGGAAGACCTTCTGCTGCGTTTCACCAGGACTTTACCCTGACTCTGTATGTCTTGGGTGTTACTCATACCGCAGGCAGTTGTGCTTTTGCTCAGAACAGAAGTCATTACGATGACAGTGTCTGTCTTCTCCCTTCCTTTGAAACCGTTTTCAACCTTTTGCTTTCCTTTTGCCTCTCCAGGTATGCGTGCGTGACACTAACTGGTTGTGATGCTCTTACACCCGAGGTAGTCATGGGTGCGGAACGTGTTGTTGCCTTGACATTGCATGGTTCAGTACTGTGTCACAACATGGTAATAGATTTCTAGATCCGAGTTAAAATCCCACAGTGTAAGGATGTGCACGCTCAGGTCAGGGGTGTTGGCACTGGTGTGAACGTGGGAAGCCAGTCTTCACGGAGTTGGGTTGGCGGATGCATCATGGCACTTTGGTCTTTGTGTCACCTGCTCACCAACACGGGCTGTTTCCCTGCCTGCTTTGCTTGGGTACTTTGTGTGCCAAGTTCTTTTCCCTCTGGCAGGTTTTATTCGCCACGCTGGCCCTTCAGAGGGCCAGGCTGGATGAGGCTTTGAGCAGCCTGGTCTAGTGGAAGGTGTCCCTGCCCATGGCAGGGGGGTTGGAACTAGATGGTCTGTAAGGTCCCTTCCAACCCAAACCCTTCTGTGATTCCATGATTCAAAATAACAGATGCCCTGGATACTTGCAAATGCACAGATTCTGTTCTGCGCAGTCTGCTTTTCTGTGTGCAATAAACAGGCTTTTTCATATTAATTTTCCAGCGTTTCTGTTGGTTTCTCGTTCCAGCAGCTTTTGTCATTGTACTTTACAAATCTCCCTACTTCCTGTTGCCGTCTGCTCAGTCAGGTCTGGCTACTTTTCATTGTGGTTTTTTTTGTTTCCTCAGTGTTGTGCCAGCAGCGCTGTGCCAAAAGCTTTTAACTAATTTCCTGACTTTTTCTGATTTGCCAGGTTCAGCTATCATCTCTTCCGTACTCGGGCATACTACTTGTTCCTCTGTGCGTTTCCTGAGATAGTCTGATGTGCTACCTGTGAAAAACTGTTGGACATTCATGTGTTTTCCAGAGCTTTGCTTTGATTTGTTTTGCCATAGCCTCTGCACAAGTATCAGATGGTAACATATTTGTTTCACTGTTGCCCTACAAAACAGATTTAATTAGTGACTTGCAGCTTAAGAGACTTTCTAGCCCCTCATACAAGAAAGTCAGTGCTGTCACGTTTGTGATGAGTATAAAGCCCTTCAAAATGTAAACACTTAACTTCTCCTTACTGGGTGAAAATAATAATTGGAATAATTAGTGATATTTTTGGCCTCATTGAAGCTAAGGATGCTTAAAGCAGTGCAATTTGATAATGCTGTGGGAAGGAAGAGTACTGCCCTTCCCAGTGCCCGCCTCCTTGGTCTTCCCTCTGTGCCAGCACATGTGTTTGTTTGTACAGCTGCGTAAGACTGAGGAGATAAACTAGTTGGAGAAAAATGGGCGTTTTTCATCTGGATTTCTTTTCCAAGTTGAGGACAGGGTGAACTGTGCCTGGCGTGCAAGAGGGGGAGGTTTTCATTTATTTATTTCAAGGTTAGTATCAGTAATCTGCTGCTAAAATGCCCTTTATATCACAGCCTGGATTATGTGAGGTTCCCAAATAGTGTGACAAATCTATTTGGGAAAAAAGTTAGAATGTTCACATAGCTGGTAAGATACAAAGTCTCAAACCTAGACTTTTTTATTTTTCCTGCTTACTCATGTGTATAGATCAAATATAATACAAACAAACATTCCTTGAAGCTCCACTAATTCTTTCTGTCAAGCAAACCGGCTAAGCAAATTTGGGAGTAAAGAGTGCTGTATAGCAGTCTCCAGAATAAAAATGTAGGTTGTTCAGTAGAAGTGCTGCTTTAACCCTGACTATTTATCCATGAAAATTCAAGGTGGAGAATATCAGGTTTTCAGCTGTGAGATGTAGTCTCCAGTAGTGCAATAATGGCTGTTTACATTAAGAATAAGGGGTTTTTAAGGGTTTTTGTTTGTTACTGAATTTTCCTCAGCAGGTGTCTTACAGGTGGTAGCCAGCTCTCCTCTGATCTTAGCCTGGGAGCCGTAACTAGAATGTAACTTGGCCTGGCTGTTTGAGAATGTCACTCTAAGGCTGTGTGGCCATTTGGTCTTTCTTACCCCTCCTAGGTTGCTCTGAGGCCTGGGAAGTTGACTGGAAACACCACCAGGGTGGAGGTTACAAGGCTGTGGTAAGCGTGCTGTTTTAAAACGCCGAGGGGAGAAGCTGGGCAAGGAGCTGACAGGGAATCGTGGGTGCTGGAGTGAATCACTCGGCGACGAACTGTCGGCAGCCTTGCGTGGGAAGATCAAGGCGCTGAGAGTTTTAAAAGAGGAGAAAGCGGTAGCTGGTCGCGCGCTCTTGCTCAGGGTGAAGGAATGGAGTATGCCTGCGGAGTGTGATGAAAGATACTTTGTGCTGCAGGTTCTCATGAAGCTGTAGAACACGCTAATCCATTCGTCATCACCGTGTGATTGCTAATTGTAGCGTTATTATTTTCACTGCTGCTCAAGTGGGGGACTAGAGAGAAATGCCATGTTTTCCATTAATAATGTGCAAGTTAAGTGATTAAGTCAAAAGTAGAAGTTGGCTATCCTAGACACCATACTCTGCTAGCTTTTACTGATTAACTCTATTAGTTGGTAAGAATGTAGTGGTAGGAATAGCCCATGTTTGCAAGAGGAAAAGTTTTTAGTCTCGCTGCACATTATATCTGACTACGATAGAACTAATCCAAAGTACTTCCAATGAGCTTATTTATTCATTTTTCCTCCTAAAGTGGCTTTCTAGAAGATGACCATAGAGGATCTCCCAGAACCTTCCCCAGCAGGAGATTCCCTCATTGACAGAGAACGCTTCTTATTCCCCAACTCTGAAGCGTCTGTAACGTTTTCTGTTGCTGCAGCACCAATGCCTTCAGACTGTGGTATGTATGGGTGACAGGAAACGAATTTGTGATCGGCAGAGGGTAGATCTGAGTATTAAATTTTAAGAAAAGCTCTCGACATTCCTTTTCAGAAAAAGTTTGCTGCTTGTTAAATGAATTCTCTATTACTTTTTCAGGGAAGTGAAAGAAGATAACCCATGCATTTTCTGTTTTTCTTACTGCATACATTTTAAATTATAATTTATCTTTTCTTTCTTAGTATTTCTTCTGTGTGTGTAGTCAGATGTTTGTAGGTTTTTTCACATCTCGATGTAAACCTAGACAGAACTGGATATTGTGTTAGGATGTTAAATTGCAATAACTAAATGTAGCTAAGCATTTACATCACATCTAAAACCTCTAGAGTTACACGTTTCCTTATACTTTCAGTATGCAAACGACACTTTATAGGGGGATATTTCTGTTGGAAGCGTGGATGTTTGGTGGTAAGGACCGTGAAATGGGTGTTAAAAGAAAATTATAGCAAGTATCGGTGATTGGCTCTCAAAATAATGTTGAATTGTCTTCACACGTATAAATTATAATATTTAAACCAGGATATGTAATATATTAAAATATCACTGTAGGTAGGGATCTTCATAGCCAGCTACAATTATAATGCCTTTGAATATTGCAGAAGATGTTTACGGCATCTATATGCCTTAAAATTACTGTCTCCACCTCTGTTTTTCCCATGCCTTGATTACAGCAATCTATTCAGGAAAAATAAGTACGTCATGTTCTGTTTTTAACAAACTCAGCGTTCTTGAGGCCCGTTTGATGAGTTAGCACAGGTTGGAAACGTAACAGTTCCACACGATCCGTTTTAGTACGTGAACATGTCTTTACGTGGTTTGGCCCTATTCTCATAACTTGTCTGTCCTACTCTACTCCTAAGCACTGCCATGATTTATTCCATTCTGCTTTCTTACCCTTGAGGAAAACTTCCCGTTTGTCCTTCTTTGAATGTTGTTGTGTTGTGGTATCTTCCAGTAACGCTACAGCATCACAGCCCTCTGTCCTGCTCGGTCTGTGCCTACTCGTTGCATTCAACCATTTCCTGCAACAGGAGGTCGCTGTCCCGGTGTAACGGGATTGCTGACGCTGGGTAAAGGGGGTTAAACCACAGCAGACAGGGTCTCGGTCATTGCGTTAAGTGCGTTCATTTTTCCTCAGTACAGGTGAGCGCTGTCATCGGTGCGTGGGGGAGAGAGGTGGAGAAAGTCATGTTTTAATGTCTCTAGATGCCATCCTCATCCTTCTTTTGATTTTTAACAGATCTGCTGTAACATTGCTTTGCAAACAGTACAGTTCGCAACAGATCAGCTACCTGTTAAGCACTCATGGTGGTTATTATTAGTACTTCATACATTCTTGGGTTTTTACCCTAGCATGCTGATGGTAACAGTCTGTAGAGCTGATTTCTGATACACAGTTCGGTTCAGGGTTGTAGCTAGACAGCTTCCCGGTAGAGTAGGAAGCATGCATGTTGTGTAAGATCAGTCCTCTTGTTGGCTAGCTGTCTGTTTACTTCGTAGCTTTCAGGATGAGGTCAGCTGAGGTCCCTTTGGAAGGAAAAGGGATATCAGTAGATAAATCAGCAGGGCTGTGCCAAGGCATGGGACTTCGTGCAGTGCTGGGAGACAAGGGGTTTGCTTTTTGTATATGCGAGGCGCAAATTAGAGTTCACCTAAACATCAGCAAACTTGTTCTCCTTTGTTGTTAGTGAGTCAGGGCCGTGCAGTTAGATGAACTCTAGACAGTAGGGAAGCGAGCTCTGTCCGTGCTTTTATCTGTTAATCCAGTCCGGAAGTGTGGTACGCTCTTGTTGGGGAGAGGCGGTGATGATTCCCCCAGAGGTAGCTCATACCGTGCCATCTACCCAGGTGGCCGATGCTCTGTGTCACTGCCCCGTACTGTGAGAGCCTGCCGTCTGCAGCTGATGCAGGCTGATGTTGTACATTTATTTGAAGTCTTTTTAAACTCCCTGATAGCTGCAGGGGAGTGAAAGTTCAGTGTTTTCCTGGCTTCAGTCATTTGCTGATGACAGTAGGTTCTGCCTCCCTTCTCTCTCCTGATAGAAGGAAAAAATCTTAAAAATATATATATTTGTTTTGTCTGATCTTGGTTTCATGGCTTAATTTTTAAAGATGCTTGTTACCCGCAGCTGTCAACAACTGGGATGGATGCATTCATGAATTACCTGGAAACAGTGGAGGCCCCAGAATGCCTCCCTGATGTGTGCATGTGCTTATGTTTTGGTATGTTTTCTGTAAACTGTGATGGGAGAAGAAGGAAGAGACATGTTTTCGTAGCATGTGGAGAAACCATGTGTGCATTTAGCCACCGAGAGATCAGGAGGCTTGTCTGTGCTTGGGAACAGCTTAGAATCAGCAGTCTTTGGCTGGCTTGAAGCAAGAGTGAACTCTTACTGGCATAATCACTGCACGTCTCTGTTAGTCCTTGCCTAAACTTGGAGTCGGTCTTGCAGGAACAGCTTATTGGTTGCCAGTTCAAAGCTGTTTCAGAGGTATAAGCAAGACCTTGGTATTAAAGGTAAAATAGACCAGGTGTTAAAGCAAATTTTCTAAATTAATTCAGCATTCTGATTTTCCAGTGGGATTAGTAGTGAAGTGACTCTGCTGTTCTTTGCGTGTGAGTTTGAAAAACTAGAGGCATGTTAAAACTTACAGTTGTACCCAATGAGTCCTTCTTTTTTTTTTTTTTAACAGAATTTTCCTTCTTCGATCCCAATGATGCAGCCTGCCAGGAAATACTTTTCAACCCCAAAACATCAGTTTCTGAACTGTTTGCCATCTTAAGGCAGTGGGTTCCACAGGTCCAGCAGAACATCGATATTATTGGGAATGAGGTGAGGTATAATGATGACCTTGAATGCTTTCAGTTTTAAAGAAATAACCATATTGACAGCGACTAAAACCAGTTTGTTCAGAGGCAGAACGAATCATGAGGGCAGATAAGAGTTTCTGCCTTTTAGCAGGTAGTTACTGATCGTTGCCTGGTATCCCACGTGTTGTTAGCTTTCTTTTGGAATAAGAAAGATGATGGATAAAAAGCTTTAAAACCTGCAAACAGTGAAGGTTAACGATAATCACGCAGTACTATTTGTTACATTTGTGCATGCTGCTCAGTTCTGCAGTTAGTCTGTTCTGGCAGGCTGCTTTGTTATTAGCCATGGAAACGGATCCAGGAGTCAGTACATCTGAAATAACAATAACTCACGTCCGAGGTATGCCAGGGCTAAAACGTGCTTGTTTTCCACTTGTCTCCCAGATCATTAAAAGGGGTTGCAATGTGAACGACAGAGATGGACTGACTGACATGACTCTCTTGCATTACACTTGCAAATCAGGGGCTCATGGTATTGGTGAGTAAGGAAACCTCATTATAGATGTAAAAACCCCAGTTAATTCACAAAGGCTAATCCCACCAACTATCACAGAATTTTCCCTAGCAGGAGGGTGCGTTTTTTTAGCGCTTGATTTTTGGCTCTTCTAGCAGCCACCATCCTCTGAGTTCGAACTAAGTTTCGGAGCGAGGTCTGGCATAGGCTAGTTTTTCTGCTGCTGGCAGATCTTTTAACATAAACTCCAGTGTTGTGGTGTGTAATTTTTTTATGTGTCTTCTCTAGATACTAAAGTCCCTGGTTTTGATGGGTGACACGTTTATATTAAACACGTTACAGATTTCAGCTCTTTATGATAAAGGCAGAGACTGCTGCATCCTAATCCTGAAAGGAAAGGCATAGCAATTGTTCTGCTGTCAGCCTTAAGGCTTTAACGCACATTATGCATTACACATCAGCACGTGCACGTTTTTTGAGGTCAGATAAATCCCTAACGCCTGTTTCGCAAAACCTCCCTTGCAGGTGACGTTGAAACCGCTGTAAGATTTGCGACGCAGCTTCTTGATTTGGGTGCTGACAGCAGTTTACGCAGCCGCTGGACAAATATGAATGCCTTGCATTATGCTGCCTACTTTGACGTTCCAGAGCTTATTAGTGTTATTTTGAAAAATGCAAAACCAAAAGGTAGGCATCGTTGCTTTTGTTTCCTGTAGCTGCCTGGATTTCATTACCCTGTTGACCCTAAGCTGGTGTGTAGTGATCGTTAAGTGTGGGGTTCGTTTATCCATTATGCATGAATGATTTCTAATTTCGTACTCTTTCAGCCAGCCTCATTGGTTTGTTTTTCTCTTAATCTATTCTTTTGTGGTTTAATGCCTGGATTCCATTGCTGGTTTTTAAACCTGAGCTCTGTATGAGACGGTAGAGAAGTATCTAATAGAACAGGAAGTGAACTGGTTAATTCTGCGTTGTTGAGGACTGAGAGAATGCATGCAGAAAACCAAAAATGTAACTATTCTGGTAAATTCCTAGGGTTTTTAAGATTCCTTAAATGTTGAGGAATATGTTTGAAATGCTGAGAGAAGGGTAACGGGGAAGTGGGGATTTGGCAACAGCATGGGGCAAGCTAGTGACTGAAGCAACTTTGACATGCTCATTTTTCCCTATTCCTGGCCATCCAGAAGATCATGTGTAAGGAACAGCTTGACTTTAGTGTTTGGCATAAATAGATAATACCTTTAGGAATGGTAGCAGGAAGGATTGTTAATTGCAGCCCTGTTTATGCTAACACAAATGGAAATACAGAAATGGTTCTGAACCAGGACCATTTGTTCCGACTCTGGTCAGCATCTCAAAACCAGTAAGTGATTTTAATACTAAAATTGTTCAACTGTTAATTTCCTGTACTGAATATCCTTCTGAATGTGCCATTTTGCAAAATGATTAAAGTCTCTTTTTAGCTAGTTGTAGCTAGAGAGTCCGTCTCAAAAGTCTGAAAAGCTGACAGGATTTTGGAGTACACAAGCCTTGCTTACTACATCTTGAATCACCGTGGCTGTGGTTGATAGGACTTGCTCTAGGGGTAACAAGTGTAGGCTGGTAAGGAAAGACAAAACAAGGCTGCACCGTAGTTCAGCCACATCACATTTCAACAGTCCAGCCTCCGTAATTTGCATCAGGAGATTAGGCCTCCTTTCAGACCTCATTTGCATTTGGTTTTCTCATCTCCTGTGCAGTGCCTACAGCAGGGGTGGGAATTTGCTCAGATTTCCAAGGAAACCACTCTGGTTAAATGCCTTGGCAGCTGGCAACTCTTGGATGAGCAGATGATTTTTTTTTTTTAGATCTTGGAAAATGCCCTGTGGCATGACAACAGTGGATGGTCTGAATTAATAGAAGGAATAATCTTAGCTCCATACTTCGTCAGGCAGTTTGCAGGGAAGGGAGGATGTATGCAGAAGGTAAATATGCCTCGGATGTATCCATACTAAACTGGAGAAGAATGGATGTTAATGTATGAATAACTTATCAGGGCAGGGGTACACGGAGGCTGAGACACCCATTGTGAAACAGCCAGGACTACAGATGTTTCCTTTTGACTTACTGCTAAACTATTTCCTTCATGACGGTCTGCAGTTACAGTGTTTATTTACTCCTCAATTGTTAGAACAGAGAGCCAGTTTGATCTCAGATGTTTAGAGGTTTTATACTTAAAAGTTGTTCAAGGCTGGAGAATTAGAAATGTTGTGTGATGCCTGCATGGGGTGCATTTTAATTTCCCCTGTTTAGAATCATGGAATGGTTTGGGTTGGAAAGTCCCTTACGGACCATCCAGTTCCAACCCCCCTGCCATGGGCAGGGACACCTTCCACTAGACCAGGTTGCTCAAAGCCTCACCCAGCCTGGCCTTGAACACTTCCAGGGATGGGGCATCCACAGCTTCTCTGGGCAGCCTGTTCTAGTGCCTCACCACCCTACATAGTTTGGGGGTGGTTACTGTGGTTATCATCATTTGATACCTGCGTGTTTCTTTCTGTCACCTGTACTGTGTTTTATTTGCCCCTGAAAAATTAATATAACTATATAGGGATTTTGATACAGTTGGGACATATGTTGTTTATCACACTGGGAGAAAGGCTAGTGGGTTTTGGGACAGAGATTGATAGTGGAAAATACTGTGAGACTGTGCAGCCCTGAGGTGGAAAATCCCATGTTCTTCACATGGAACATGGCTGCTAATGCTTGTTGGCTTTGGGTGTGTGTATTAAATCAGCTAGCATTTTTAATTAACAGTCAAATACGTAATTGACTCAAACTGACATCTCCTGTATAGTTTAGGAGAGGAGCCAAAGAGTAAACATTAAAACTCCAATCTTGTAGAACAGTAAGAACGACGTAGCACTGTGCGAGAGAGGTCGGGAAGAACCGACGGCAGTGTGTTTTGTGCTAAATCTCTTCTAGTCCAACACAGACTTCCATTTTCCAAACTCTTGGTGCGAGACCCTTCAGAGAGCGAGTCTTTGAAAACAAAGAAATGATGGAAGTCCCTAGCTCTTACTTCGTTCTTGGCCATTAGTAATTAAATCGATGTAAAGCGGAGGTAGAATGGGTTTTCCCTTGCCACGCTGCCTGCTCAGAAGGGGAACAACTGGTTGATGATGCATCTCGTTTTTAACATTTGGCACCTAGAAGCAATAAAATATAAATATTTCTGAAACATTAATTTACATGAAAGCCTAAAGTTATTAACTTGTTAATCTTAGCACAGTAGATTGGGCGTGCTGAATAGCAACAGTTCTGCAGTTAAGTCATCAGTATTCCCAAATGAATGGAAGTAAATGCTCCTCTTCCAGATCGGTTCACGGCGTGAATAAAAAGCTGCAGATCACGCTGAGAGTCTGCGTAGAATTACTTCTCATACTCATTTAGTACATAAATAATGGTGCGTCCGTATAAACATCAACGTAAGCTGTGAAAGTGAGTGTCCTCTGAAGGAATCTGTAGGGTGAAACGTTCACCCAAAGGCCACCTCACATGTGATGTTTAATTGCAGATGTGGATGCCACCTGTAGCGACTTTGATTTTGGAACAGCTCTGCATATCGCCGCATTTAACCTGTGCACGGGAGCTGTCAAGTGCTTGCTGGAACACGGAGCAAACCCTGCCTTCAGGGTAAGGAGTCAGGCTGTCGGTTCACCAGCAGGGGAAAAAAGTACCTGGAAGATCTGAACAGTCTGTCCAGGGTTTTGGTTACCTACAGATGTGTTACGTGGAGCACAGTGCCTTAAAAAACACTATTTATAACTTGTAGTGGGTGATTTTCAAATTCAGGGGTTTCTATTTTAATGAGAAATTGTAATTGTTTTAAGGGTACTCAGGAGTCATTATTTATCAGTGATGGTGTGAAGTCTTCTGGAACATCATTATTCATACAGTTCTTAGAGATCTAGGTAGAATATAATGGAAAAAGCACACTTTTCGTCGTCTCGTTATCTAGTGTGCGCGTACGTGCGTCAGATCCCGTGGCAGCTGCGTGTTTACGAGCCTGTTGTCACAGGGAGGGCTGCTTTGTGGTTGCACGAGCATTCTGACCTGGCGAGGGGCGGCTCTGCCCTGTGCCCACGTTTGCCTCCTTGCCTCTGTTCTGCCCCCAGCCCCAGGCTTGGCAGGGCACCTGGGGGGCGGAATTGCGGGACTGATGTGACCGAAACCATCACTAACGTGATGACTGAAAACTGGAAGCAGACTCCCCGCTTAACTTTAACCTGGCTATATCCTGGTTTTGAGGTATTGTTACTTGAATGGGGCTGAGCTTTTTACTTACAGAGTGACTTGATTTTTAAGGGATGGTAGGTGTTCAATTCTTCAGTCCCACAATAAAGTTTTGACCAGAGACAGTGTGTAGGGTTTGCCTTTATGAGGACAGTGGAGTGTAAGTGCTGAGTAAGGAATTACAAGGGGCTAAGGGAAGGCTGAGCTTTTACCCTTTTCTTTAAGGAAACAGAGCAAATACTCTCTTGCTCTGTGTCATTCTCTCTTTGAGCTTCTGGTAACTGCTGGGTCCAGGGGCTTGGGTGGGACAAGTTTGGACGACTGAGATAAGGATGATTCCACAAACTCTGTGAGAATTGCCGGGTGGGCGAAGATGCATGCTAATGCCTTTGCAGAAGAAAGCGTAGGTAGAGCTTGCCGTGGTACCAGCCTGAGCGTGACCTTGCCATCTGTCCAGCTGGCCTTGAGTTAGGGTGAGCCGGTACTCCAACAGCTCTGGGCCAGGGCGAGTGTGACGTGGGACACGTAGGGCATCTCAGTCACTGCTCTCTGGGAATGGGGAATGTTTGGAAAGGACGCAGGCCTTAATTCGTCTGTCATGGAATGGTCTGTATCTAAATAGACCTCAACAGATTTATTCAGGTACTCATGTGAGACGTCAACTTTGGGTATTCTATACATTATACGTACATTAACCGAATTCTCTCTTACATTTGGAATATGCCTCACCGAGGGGTAAACTGTAATCTGGGTAAAGATAAATTCTCTGGGAGGTGTCAGCTTTACTGTACCGGCGTTACAGTCCAGAATTCTTGCTTACTTTCCTAAATCTGGGTTCAAGTACACAGAGATATACAGTTTTGTTTTCATTTTTTCTGAGTACTAGTAATGTTCTGAAATTAAAAATCTTGGTAACTTAGCACTTTTGCAAATAAGTCATGATAAATGCTAGTTTATGTCTGCAAGGGTGCTTTGGCATCCTTATTTGAAAGTGTGGATGTTTTTATAGTTGTTCTAGGAAAAATATCTAATGGAGAAGATTAAAAACTTCCTAAACGGCAGTGGTTTTGCCTGCTCAGGTTTATCTTGTCACAACATTGAATCCAGTGCTGTCTCATGTTTCTGCAGAATGACAAAGGGCAGATTCCAGCAGATGTAGTTCCTGATCCGGTCGATATGCCACTGGAAATGGCAGATGCGGCAGCCAGCGCTAAAGAGATCAAGCAGATATTGCTGGATGCAGTGCCTCTCTCGTGTGACCTCTCCAAAGCCATGATTCCAAACTATGACCGTGTCACAGGCAAGGCCATGCTGTTATCGCTTGGCCTCAAGCTGGGAGATCGTGTTGTGATTGCAGGACAGAAGGTATGATGAGCAACCGCAGGCCACCCTCATGATTTCTGGACAGTCCATTTATTTCCCCCTTTGGAGGTGTACCTCAAATTTGAGGGTCTAAAGCACTTTCCGGAAGGTATGAACTCTGGATGGCAGTAAGGGTCTGGTTTCAGAAGGCAGAAACCCAACAGTTAGGTGTTAAAGCGCGTCAGTGCTCTGAGAAGCTGTTTCGACAGGCGCAGTCTGCGTTCTGCATCTGTAAACAATGTTTTAACGCTCTCCTACGGAACGTCAGCACGGCTCAGCTTCTATTAACGTTTTTGGTGTGGCATCAAAATGATGGCAAAGCTTACAGATTGCTTTGTGAGTTGCCCAGCTCTCGGTTCGGGGTTTGCCTTGCTGGATCGCCCCGGTCGCCTCCAGAAGGTGGTAAAAGAAAACTTTAATTCTGCTTAGCCGGGAGCAACCCAGCTTCACTGGTGCAATGCAGCTAAAATCTTGGAAGCAGTGCTGTGCCAGCGGGGTGGTCACGTAGCTCTGTGGAAGTGGAAGAACACAGCTAACGCTGTCCCAGCTCAGATGTGGAGGGCTTGCAAGAGGTTGCTTTGCTAGGCGCCTTTGGAAAAACGTGTCCCCAGGATGTGACGTTGGTGTGTGCAGTTAGCGTTCGTGCCTCCTGTTTGCTCTGATAGCAAGGGCTCTGAAACGATCTGGAACGCTTCTAAAGGTATCAAATCTTGTTCTGGTAAATACTGAAGGAGTTTGTGAGCAAAATTTCCTTTTGAGTAGCTTTATCTTTAACAATTTTTCTAGTGTAACTTCAGATTTGTAGTTACTACAACCGCAGTGTTGTAGCGGGAACTCCACCAGGAGTGCAAAGCAGCTTCCGTTCTGTATTTTCCTTCGGTGGAATTTTGAAAGTGGGTCAGGACAAGCAAAGGAATCGCTAGCCAGGCAGCAGGCGTTTTAATTGCCTTAGGTACAGGGAGCCGCTTACGCTCTAAGTCACGGAGAAGCTCGTGGAAGGTGGTGTTAGGGGAAGCCACTGCAGGGAGAGAGCAAGGGGAGGTAACGCCCCTGCGAGTCAGTGGAGGCTCTAGAGCAAGAAAGGGGGGAAGTGGCTCCCTCTGCGTCCCTTTCCTCCAAGTAAGGCCGCGGAGCTGTCAGCGTTGGAACGTGCTCACCATGCATGGGTAAAGCTTCCTGGGCTTGGTCACCTTTTTATTTTAATCAAGTCTGCTACCACAGTGCTTTGTAAGAAGCTGTTGGCAGCTTTTTCTGCTGCCAGAGGCCATCGGGGCTTTCCAGCTAGCTTTTTCATAGAATCATAGAATGG